CCAGACTTGGCTGCTAGGGCACTGAGGAGGCTGGGATGATGCTGAGGCCCCTTCTCAGAGGATGTTGGACCTGACTGGGGGCAGGGAGCACTGTGTGCACTTATTAAGCACCTACTGGATGCCAAACTAGGCTGCTTGGGGCCTTTCCCCATGCTGTTCCAGCTGCCAGGATTACTTCTCCTTTTCATGGTGTTGATTCCTGCCCTTTCTGCTCTCAATCTAGAAGACACTGCCTCTAGAAAGCCTCCCAGATTTTCTGGGTTACAGAAGACACCTCCCTTTGGGTCAACACATTGCCTGTGATTCCCCCACAGTTCTGATCACCTGATTTTATAGCTGGGTTACGGGCAGGTCACTCAATTGACAAATACTGACAAAGTGCTTAGTAGGTGTGAGGCACTATATGTGGTTGGCAAACCATGCAGGGCAGGTACTGTTATGGTTCCCATATTACAGATGGGAAAACTGAGGCTCAGGGAGGTTTAATGGTGGAAAGAAGCTATAAGACTTAGGGCCTGGAGCACAGTAGGGCCTCAGTAAGAACTGGGTTTCATCCCTAGTGAGTACTCCCTCTGCTGGCATGATCGTGAGAAAAGTCAACCGTCTGGTGAACCAGGAGGTGCCTTCTCTGCTGTGGTGCCTGTGACCTTGAAGGAGGCTCAAGCTTAAAGGTTCAGGGATTCATTCATTCATTCACTTAGTCAACAAACATGTATTGGGTAGTTCTTTGGGACACAAATGTGTTCAAGTGACAGGCATGCTGGCCACCTCTGAAATCTGTTCTCTCTTCCAGGGCAATAGAACCCCTGGTTTTCAGATGGACCATTGGCCATTCAGAATATACTACATTTCCCAGCATCCTTTCAGGCAAGTGTAGCCATATGACTGAGTTCTGGCCAATGGAGTATGAGCAAAACTAGTGTATGGGATTTCTGGGAAGTGTCCTTAAAGAGAAAGGGTAAGCTCTTCCTCATTGACTGGAATGTAGATGTGATGGCTAGAGCTCAAGCAGCTACTGTGCTCTATGAGGAGAAGGGCACTTGCTGAGGAGGTGGGACAATAAGACAAAAGGAACCTGGGGCCTGGACACTGTGGAGCCTCCATGTTATCCCTGGACTGACTACTCAAGTTCATGAGAAATAGCCCTCTGTGCTTAAGCTGCTCTGATGGGGTCTCAGATCCCATTGCTAACTTCAAGCCTGACTGCTACACACATCGCTTCCTGTCTCCACTTCTCCATCCTCATCCCAGTCCATGCCTGCTGGACAGAGAGGCCTGCTCCTTCTTGGCAGCTCTGGACTTTGATGGCCACCCAGAGTGACTGAGGCAGTGTTCTCTGGATACTGTAGCCTCCATTTGTGGCCTTACGGCCAGTGGGCTAGGAGCAAAGCCCCTTGAACACTGGGTAGGAGTTCTTTACCATCTCCCAGGGATACTGTGCAAGGACCTCAGCCCACTTCTCTGCGCCCCACCCCACACACATACACACACCAGAGCCATGACCAAGAGCCCACCCTTTGCCAACATCCATCCAAGAACAGACTCACTTTTTTCTGAACTACTTTGGAGGTTCCCAGCTAGGTTGGGAGGTGCAGACAGCAAGACACAAATGAAAAACACTCCAGTGAACTTCCCTGGTGGTACAATGGATGAGAATCTGTCCGCCAATGCAGGGGACGTGGGTTCAGTCCCTGGTCCCAGAAGATCCCACGTGTCACAGAGCAACTAAGCCTGTGTCCCATAACCGCTGAACCTATGCTCTAGAGCCTGCGTGCCACAACCACTGAAGCCCACGTGCCCGAGAGTCTGTGCTCTGCGACAAGAGAAGCCCCCACAATGAGAAGCCCACACATCGCAATGAAGAGTAGCCCCTGCTCAACACAACTAGAGAAAGCCTGAGCATAGCAACAGACACCCAGGACAAGCAAAAAAAAAAAGTTTAAAAAAAGCCACTCTAATATGTGTGAAAAAGAAGACATTTGACTAAATACAGATATTCACTCATGAAGCCACTAATACCAGACTACTCTGTCCAAATCCTACTATCACCCATATGCTGTGCCTCCTGAGAAATTCTATACAACATTCCCTTGCAGATCTTCCTGATCATGCTTGCCCCAAATTAGCATCCACCCCTTCTTTGTTGCCCAGAAGAGCCTTTCATTGACCCAAGTTTCTGAGAAAAGCTTGCACTGGGAACTGAAGAAACACTGTTATCTATTTGCCATAAAATTAAATCACATCCATGCTAGTCTCTGAATCCAACTAGAAATTAAAAGAAACTAAAGGAGGCAGAGGCATACTTAAAATGATACCACATGTGTGTGTGCTAAGTCACTTCAGTCATGTCCGACTCTTTGTGACCCCATAGACTGTAGCCCTCCAGACTACTCTGTCCATGGGATTCTCTAGGCAAGAATACTAGAGTGAGTTGCCATGCCCCAACTGACAAAACCCAGATCAGGGGCATCTCTGCAAGATGAAGGACCCAGTGGCCTCAAATAAATAAACTGCAAGGAAAATTATAGGGAGAAAGATAGCAGGAGAAGCTTTGGATTAAAAGAGACTTTGGACAGACCTCTGGTAGTCCAGTGGTTAAGAATCTGCCTTGCAATGCCGGGTACACAGGTTCAATCCCAGGCTGGGAGACTAAGATGCCGTATGCCACAGAGCAACTGAGCCCAAGTGCCATGGTTACTGAAGCCCACGAGCTCTGGAGTCCTCACACTACAACTAGAGAATCTGTGTGCCTCAATCAAAGATCCCATGTGACGCAAGGAAGATCTCAAAAAATGCAAGCAAGAACCCAAGTGCCGCCACTAAGACCCAGTGCAGCCAAGTAAGTAAATAATAAATACAATACTTTTTAAATGCTACAGAACCAATTTTTAAAAATAAATAAAAAATTAAGGAGACAGGAGACCATCAGTGACTCTAGATTCTATCTCGGTCCTGCTTCAAATAGTCTAAAAATTTGTACCATAATATAATAAATGTGCACATTTCCACTTGCTCCCTGGGTGACTATTCAACGCTATTTGGGAATCACTATAGCATCAAGGTGGTGCTAGTGGTAAAGAACCTGTCTGCCAATGCAGGAGACACAAGAGACCTGGGTCAGGAAGATCTCCTGGAGAAAGAAATGACATCCCACTCCAGTATTCTTGCCTAGGAAATCCCATGGACAGAAGAGCCTGCTGTGCTAGTCTATAGGGTCTCAAAGAGTTGGACATGACTGAAGTGACTTAGCATGCATGCACGCATAAGGAATCATTTCATACTGGACTTGATACTGGAGTTTGTGAGGTTGTTCTTTAAGGGATCTTATCTTGTAGAGCAGGGTGTCTCCTCTCAGCACTGTAGACAGTCAGATCAGATCATTCTCTGGGATGAGACCCTCCCAGGGGCTAAGAGGTATGGAGCAGCATTCTTGGCCCCCACCCACTCGATACCAGGAGGACCCCAGTCATGATGACCACACATGCCCCCAGACATCGCTCAGTGTCCCCGGGGACACAACATCCCCACCACAGTGGAGAACTACTGCTTTAGAGACACACACTGAAATATCTGTAGGTGAAAAAAAACATCTGGAATTTACATCAAAGTAGCAAGGGAGGGGCTTGCCTGGTGGCTGAGTGGTAAAGAATCCACCTGCCAATGCAGTAGACACAGGTTTGATCCCTGATCTGGGAAGACCTCACATGCCTTGGAGCAAGTAAGCCCATGTGCTACAATTATTGAGCCTATACTCTAGAGCCTGGTAACTGCTACTGCCGAGCCCATGTGCGCCAACGACTGAAGCCCATGAGCCCTAGAGCCTGAGCTCTGCAGCAAGAGAAGCCACTGCAAGGAGAAGCCTGCACACTTCAACTAGAGAGCATGCCCTGCTCTCCACAACTAGAGAAAAGCCCGCATAGCAACGAAGACCCAGCACAGCCAAAAATAAAACAAATAAAAATGTTAAAAAATCTTTTTTAAAAAATAGCAAGGAAGGAGGAGAATTAGAGGAGACAAGAATGGCCAGGAGTAGATCAATCGTTGAATCTGAATGATGGGTACACGTGGGACGATCCCCTGGAGGAGGGCACAGCAACTCACTGCAGTATTCTTGCCCAGAAAATCTCATGGACAGAGAAGCCGTGGTCTATTGGGTCGCAAAGAGTCAGGCATGACTGAAGTGACTTAGCGCAGCATGGCAGCACAGATAAATCACTGAATCTGAATGATGGGTACACGTGGGAAAAGTCATCATTCCATTCTCTCTACTTGAGTGGGTTTGACACTTTCCACTATAAGCAGCTGAAATGATGAGGAAATTTCAATGGAACCCGGAGCTGAGTTGGTCATAACCTATTCACGGTGCTCTCAAGGTTGAATCAAACATGCTATGCTGGGGACTTCCTTGGGCAGTCCAATGGTTAAGACTTTGCTTTCCACTGCAGCGGGGTGTGGGTTCGATCCTTGGTTGGGGACCCTGGATCCCACATACTTTGTGGCCAAAAAATCAAAACGTTAAAAAGAAAAAAATGCTATGCTGATGTAAAATGTCAACACTCAGGGAAAACTGGGTGAGGGGTCCATGGAAACTGTCCAGAGCCCCTTTGCAATTTTTCTGTAAAGCTAAAATTATTCCAAAGTAACAAGTTTATTTTTTTTAAGGTTTAAATGAAAGCGAATATTAGGAATCAGGCCCGGTGGACCCAGAATTTGAACTGAGGCACAGTGGCCCCATCACAGGGCCACCATGGGGATGATGTACATAACGTCCCTGAGAAGACCACCCTACCACCCCCATATCCCCTCACTCACCCTCAGATGCCAGGAGCCAGCTCAGCTTGGACTTGCCACACGGGTGGTATGAGGGACTGGGCAGCCCCAGAGCAGCCAGGGGGAGAATCCGCTTTCAAACCCACTTTATTATCTAGTCTCCGGGCTAAAAACATGCCTTCCTTCCACCCTGCCCGCCCGGATCTCTACCAGCCCAGGGCTGGCGGGTATCAGTGGGGTTCTGGGGGCCCCTCTAAGGGTGCACTGGCCTCTGCCTCCCCCACGGAGGAGGCACTACAGCGGCGCCGGGAGGTGGCTCGGGTCAGCAGAGCCAGCCTCCGGGAGCGCAGCCGGGCCTGGACAGCCCAGATCGGGGTTTGGCGGCCGGACAGCGAGGGGTCTTCCTCGTCCCCGTAGCTGTCGACGGTGGAGTCAGAGCTGTCCTCTGTGCCGGCCACTGACTGCTTGCACATGGGACAGGAGCGCTGGACAGCCTGGGAGAACCAGGGGTCGATGCACTTGCAGTGGTAGGTATGGGAGCAGGGAAGGACCTTGAGGCGGTCGCCTTCCTCGTACTCATCCAGGCAGATGGCGCAGAGGTCGTTACACCTGGTGAAGGTGTGCACCTGGGCCCTCTGGGTGGCCTGTGCCTTGACCGCCTGCCCGCTGGCCCGCCAGCTCCAGAGACAATGCCACAGGCGCCGCAGGACAAAGACAGCGCTGGTGAGCAGGGCCAGGGCACGGCCCAGCACCCAGGAGATGGCCAGCACCGGGTGGCAGTCCAGGTCCGGGTGGGGCGGGTAGTCGGGCAGCAGGACGACTTGGGCCGACTTGTCACAGCGCATGAGGACCCGCAGGTCCTGGGAAGCAGCCTCGCCCACGAACACCGAGGGGATGGCGATCTGCTGCCGCAGGTCCTCATACACATGGGCCATGCGCACCAGGTCGTCAGAACGCACATTGTGCACAATAGCCGCCTCGAAGCCGGCCCGCTGGGCGTGCAGCACCTTGAGGTCGAACGTGCAGTCGTATCGGCGGATCAGCACGATGGCGCCCAGGGAGCCGTTGCCCAGCAGCGGGCCCTGAATGGGATGGCATGCGTTGGCTGGCTTGGCCTCCATCAGGTAGCCTCGCACACCCCCAGGAGCCAGGGGAGCCCCGAACAGGGCTGGCAGATCCTCAAAGTCCACCGTGCTTGAGTTGCTGTCCAGCACGACCCGCACCACCGCCTGCGAGGGAGTGAGCAACCCCAGCAGGATCAGCGAGATCCTGACTGCCCCCAGGGCCACAGCTGGCTGCTGCCGCCCCATGGCTGGCCCGTCCTTCTCCGGCTGCGGCATGGAGCTAGGTCCCGCTAGGGACCGCCAACGGGAGGCCTCCGGGCATCTCCAGGGCCTGCCAGGGAGGGAATGGAGGTGAACTTGAAAGGGCGGCTCAGAGGCAGTTGAGCAGAGCAGTGGGGACCCTGGTGGTCCTACACGGAAACGGCTCCTGGGGGCAGCCAGGCTCGCATTCTGTCCTTGAAGGCTGGTCCCAGGAGGAGATGACCTACCCAGGCAGCCTTCCTGGCAGATGACGCTGAGACCAGGAGCCCCAGGGTTCTAGATGCCCCCAGCCTCTGTGACATCGTCCTGTTACATCCAGTCCCTCCACCCCCTGCCCAGACAGAATCCCTGGGGCTCTGACCTGGGGGCTGGGCAACCTTGGAAAAAAACTTCTAGAAGTCTCAGCACATCCCCAGCTCCTGTACCTTGTAAGGGTAAAGTTCAGGGGTACCACAGAGTGGTTTGGCAGCCCACACGCCCCACCATGACGTGGATCCAGCCTTCACACTGACATTCTGCCATCATCATCTCCCCAAGCCTCCTAGAGACCCACTAAAGAAGGCGGTCAATGTTCACCCATTTCGAGATTCCCAGGGGACTTAGACTTGTTCAGGGCACCCTCTGTCCATGAGGTTTTAAAGCCCAAATCCCAGGCCTCCTCCTTCCCTCCCCCTTGCTCACTCTGCTCCAGACACACAGGCCTCCCTGACGTTCTTTTGTGAACACACACAGCACGATCCTGCTCCAGTGCCTATGCAAGTCTGTGTCCTCAGCCTGGAAGGCCCTTTCTCCCCATGGCCACCTTTTTCTTACCCTTCAGGTCTCAGTTCTTATGTCCTCAGGGTCTAACCGACGTGATGGGAGGGGTGGGAGAAGTGCAATGTCAGGGCTGGGCTAGCAGGAGCGGGTGGTCCAAGTCCCCATCACCAGGGAGACCAGCGACCCCCAACCTTTTTGGCACCAGGGACCTGTTTCCAGGGGCTTCCCAGGTGGTGCCTGTGGTGAAGAATCTGCCTGCCGGTGCAAAAGATGCAAGAGACATGGGTTCGGTCCCTGGGTAGGGAAGATTCCCTGGGGTAGGACATAGCAACCCACTCCAGTATTCCTGCCTGAAGAATCCCATGGACAGAGGAGCCTGGTGAGCTACAGTCCATGGGGTCACAGAGTCAGACACAACTGGGTGCACACACACACACCGTTTCATGGAATACCAGTTTTCTGTGGATTGGGGGTGGGGGGATGGTTTCAGGATGATTCAAGTGCATTACATTTATTGTGCACTTGATTTTATTATGATTACATCAGCTCCACCTCGGATCATCAGGCATTAGGTCCCGGAGACCACCTAAACCAGCTTTATTCTCTCAGCTTAGATCTTCCTCTCTATCCGGGTCTCCAACCGTCCCTTGTTCCTCATCCAGAGCGCTGGCCATCAGCCTCATGTCCCCTCCCAACTCTTTATCCCAGATCTCCCACTGTGAGTCTGTCACCTGGCTGGGCAGTCTACTCAAGTCCTGAATCATTGCTCTGTCATTAACAAGCTTATGTGAGACCAGGTAAGTCACTGAAGCTGTCTGGGCTCTAGTCTCTAGATCTTTCAGATGGGTGTAATGATGAGCTGAGCAACGTGCCTCGTAAGGTCGGCGGTCAGAAAATTGAATGAGATGATGCCTGATTGGCGTTCATCATGTGTGTGTTAGTTGCTCAGTCATGTCTGACTCTTTGTGACCCCAAGGACTATAGCCCACTAGGCTCCTCTGTCCATGAGATTTCCCAGGCAAGAATACTGGAATGGGTTGCCATTCCCTTCTCCAGGGGATCTTCCTGACCCAGGGATCGAACCCAGGTCTCCTGCCCTGCAGGTAGATTCTTTACCATTTGAGTGACCAGGGAAGCCCTTAGGGTCTGAAATTTTCATTCTCCCATTAACAGACTTGCCTCCACTTCACAACACTTTCATTTCCTCACCGCATGGCAGTCAAGCATATTTCTAAAGTTTAATCCTCTGGTCTCTCCCATGCTCTAAACTCTCCCATGGCTCCCCCCTGCCCTCTTGATGAAATCCAAGTTCCTTTCTGTGTCTGACACAGCTCTCCATGGTCAAGCCCCTGCCAGTCTCCAAAACCTCAATAATTTTCTTTTTAAAAATTTTACTATTTTTGGCTGCGCTGGGTCTTCATTGCTTTGCACAGGCTTTCTCTAGTTGTGGTGAGCAAGGACTACTGTTTGCTGTGCTGGACACGCTTCTCATTGCAGTGGCTTCTCTTGTTGCAGAGCACGGGCTCAATGCGGGTGGTCTCCAGTAGTTGTGGCACATGGGCTCTAGAGCACAGGTTCAATAGTTGTGGCACACAGGCTTAGCTGCTCTGAGGCATGTGGGATCTTCCCAAACCAGGGATTGAACCCCTGTCCCCTGCATTGGCAGGCGTATTCTTACCCAGCTGTGCCACCAGGGAAGCCCCTCAATGCTCTTCAATGCTCTGAATGCATCATGATTTACTAACCTCTAGAACTTTGCAAATGCTGTTCCCTCTGCCGGGAACAGAATTCTCTCTCCTCAACCACACTTCACCAGGCTGGCTACTTAATTCTTTAGGTTGTCTCTGTTGGTTTAATACTTCCTAGAGCAGCGCTCAGCCAATGATAAAGAGACACAGGAGTCAAACAGGCAGAAGTCCATGTGACAACAGAAGGAGAGATTCCAGTGATGTGTCGCCAAGGAATGTCGAGGGTAGCCAGCAACCACCAGACGCTAGGAGGGAGGTGGGAAACAGATTCTCCCTCTCAGCCAGCAAGAAGAAACAGACCCTGCTGATACCTTGATTTTGGACTTCCAGCCTCCACAACTGTGAGGGAGCTCCTGGTCATGGCAGGTGTAGAAATGAATGCACAGTTGGAATCTTTGTCCCGAGGGTCCACATCTGGGTGAGGCCAACCAGACACAAGGTGTCAGCACATTGAGACCGAAGGGTGAGGAAGGATGAAGTTGGAGTGAGGGGCTGGAGAACAACATGCTGGGAATGCAAAGGGCATGTGCAAAGGTCCTGCAGTGAGACTGAGTGAGTGAGTTAGAGTTGAATGGTTGGATATGGCAAGCCGTCAGAGTGGCTAAGAAGAGGGTCTTATTGAAAGATGGGAGAGAGATGGGGGTAGTAAGGACAGGACCCAACCCAAACCTTGAATGTCGCTGACTTTAGAATTTACACAGAGACTGATGAGGAGCCTTAGAAAAGATCAGAATAGAGACAGGACATGGATCATATCTCTCATTTCTGGTCTCTGTATTTCTGCACTGTTTGAATCTTCTTACAATGGGAGTAAATTCACTTATGACTCCTGAAATAAAGAAAGATTTGTGTTTCTGAAAGAACCCTCTGGTTGTTGGATGCAGGGTGGGCTGGAGAGACAAGGAGAAGGGGAGAAGCCACAGCGGCAGCGGGAGAACCAGGGGAGGGACTGGGGAATGGGACAGAGAGAGGATAACAGGGGATTATAGCCCTGAATGAGTGAGTGGGCAGGAAGGTCAAAAGGGGAGGCGTCCTTGAATGGAGCCGGCCATATGGGGTGAGGGGCATCACTCTCTAACAATGCCTTCCCCTGGGGCTTACTTGGAGCAAGTTTTGTTTGGTGCTACTGTCTTTAATGTCTTTCTGGCAATGGCTAATTTTCCTAAGATACAGGTCCTTGGCTCCATGGGCACTTTTTTTTAATTTTCTGACCACACCATGAGGCATGTGGGACCCTAGCTCTCCAACCAGGGATTGAATTTGAGTTCCTCTGCATTGCAAACGCCAAGTCTTAAAGACTGAATTACCAGGGAAGTTCCTTCCCTTCCCCATTGACATTTTGAGGTATCATTTTGTTTTCTGTATCTTTGTTTCTTGTGGGTCCCTTCCCTTTGCGGCAAGTGATAGAGGTTTTTCGTTTATGACTTGACAATATTTTTAAGGAAAGATAAAATGTCGATCTTTAGGAAGTATTTGGCAAACAAAGGAACAGGTGCATGATAGGGAAAAGTTCAAGACAGAGTTCTCCAAAGATGGGCAGTTAATAAACAGGGTGTATTCATTTGTTAGGGCTGCCGTAACAAAGTACAGTGAAGTCCCCTACGCACGAAACTTCGAGCTGCTAAGTTTCAAAGATGCAGACAGGTGTTTGCAGGTCCGATCGCAGAGCTTAGTTCATCTGTCTGGTGTACATTGTCACATGCGAGCATCCTCTATGAGTCGCGGTGCTTTTGTGGACTTTGCAGGAGAGAGTAGAGAGTACAGCATCTTTATTTCAAGCCCAGGATGTCTGGAAGCTTCCCTGGTGGCTCAGTTGGTTAAGAGTCTGCCCACAATATAGGAGACCCAGGTTGGATCCCTGGGTGGGGAAGGTCTCCTGGAGAAGGAAATGGCAACCCACTCCAGTATTCTTGCCTGGAGAATTCCCTGGACAGACGAGCCTGGTGGGCTACAGTCCACAAGATCACAGAGAGTTGGACACGACTGAGTAACTAACGCTTTCAGTTTCACTTTCTGGATGTCCGGAAGCAAGCATAAAAGCAGTAGCGATGTAGCTGGTACTGCTAAGAAGTGCCAAGTGATAACGATGGAAACAAAAATGAAAATAATTGAGGGAGTGGGGCAACAAGAGGAAGAAGCAGCTGAAGAACTGAAGGGATTTGTGGCGCAGGAGAGGGTAAGGGGTTTTCTTGATTTCAGGAGGCTCTGTTCGTTTTTTGAAGCACAGAACCAAATGCAGAACAGTACACGGAAGCTGCAACAGCCATTCAGATTGCAATCCAGTAGCTGCCGTGTCATCTATGACGAAGAAAGAAAAAAAAAAGCTACTACCAAGACATCGTTGGATTGTTTTTTTCAGGAGGGTGGATAGAGTTGAATCCACAAGGAGCCAGAAGCTATGCCATCAACGTCAGGCATGAGTGACGCTGCAACCTGCCCTCTGTCTCCTATCACTGACGATCTTTCAGCTCTCCCACC